CCCCAAAACCCCAAAACCCCAAAACCCCAAAACCCCTTTAAACATTTTAAAGAAATTATAAGGCATTTTCAGTAATTAATCCTCTCTTCTTATCTGGTTTAGAGTCTTGCATGATTTTAGTAAAGAGTCTAGGGCCATACTGGCTGTATCTATGATAGAATTGTGCTCCTTTACCTCTCTCGTTGCTTTATCATTCTGGGATTCAAGGTAGAGAAAATTATTAGTCACTGCATCTTGAAGGTCGTCATACTTTTTCTCTACCATTTTTAGTTCAAGATTCTTCAATCTCTTGATCTGGTTAACTAAGCCAACGAGGTATTCATACCTCTGGATCTTAGGTTGACTTCTTTCCGTGCAACTTGTTCTCTCTTTGTCCAATGTTCCATTATCCTGGAACTCTTCAGTACAAAGATAATCATCCTTTGTATCTTTGAAGGAGGGCGAGTCACTAGTCTGGCTTTGGCTTAAGACTTCTACAAAATCTTGCTTGTACAATTCCAAGTCATCTTCTTCCTCATATTCCTTAGGAGGCTGCTTGAGTCTCTGAAATCTCTTGTTCGCTGGTTTTCTCTCGCTATTGCTGATTTCATTCTGCTTTCTCTGCTCTAGTTCAACCTCTTTGCTAAATTATTATTAGGTTGCATTTTTCAGCTTAAATCTGCACAACCTGAGTAAAGATTTCAATCCAAATCTGAGAGTAAAGATTTTTGAAGAAGGTAGCGATAAATGCAAGGCTTACTTCGCAATTTTGATTAAGTCACTAAAGCTCTTCTCCCGCTTTGGGACCTTTAGCTCATATTCTTGCTGTGTTTGCTCATAATTTTGCTGATCTTTGTCTTGACTATTATTTGACCTAAATTTAAGTAACTTGGCCTACATCTTCACTGACTTTTCATCAGTGATTTTCTGATTGATGTTGGCTTTCTTAAGGCTTCTATCTTCTTCCTCTCCAGGTTGCTCCTGAATCGCAGTAAGTTCACTTTGATTCCTTCTAGATTTGAAAATGAGTTTGAACATACCTTCTAACCATTCCTGGATGAGGCCTCCTGAACTTATTGAGCTGTTTAGGCTGAAATTTATTTCGGAGGATTCCTCTCTTTTCCTATGTTAATAAGAAAGTTAGCTTACTTTGAGCAACGTGCTCATTTGAATTCATTTGAGAGGTCTCCTTAGAAGACTCTTTTTGGTTCTTCTGCTGAGCTTTTAGATCCATTTTGAACGGGTTATAGCTATAAAGGCTTGATGAAGCTACTGTACTTTCCCCACTTCTTTGGCTCTCGCATATTCTGCTTTCTCTTATCTCCCTCTCGAATACTTGGTTCAGGTGTGACTGAAATCGGTTCTTGTGAATTATCACTAATATTTTCTTTCTGTACTCTATTCCCTTCTTTCGCTCTCTCTAACTTGTTATCCTCTAAACTCTCTCACTACCTCTGTGCTTACTCTTTGGAGTGATGTCCATATTCATCAGGTCCATTCCGTCATCACTTTCATCGTCAAGATCAAGTGCTATTGTCTTACCCAGGTCTGCCATATCTTCCTCTATAACACACAAATTTTCCTAAAAAACCTAGATGCTCTAATTGCTGCTACTAAAATCCAGAAATTTAGAGAAGGCACATTGTGAGCCTGGCATATGGGAATTGGGGAGAAAGTACCTTCTTCTTGTGAGACTGATGATAAAGAGATATCTGGCTCAACAGTGGGCCCAAAGCTCATTCTGTTTGAATTTTGACTCATAGTTGTAAATGGAGTTTGGTGATGGATTAAATTTGTGCTAGAATTTGGGGTTTTGGGGTTTTGGGGTTTTGGGG